CAAGTTCAAATATGGTCAGCAATTGTCAACAAAATATTTGGTTCATGTTTTATTCACAATTGAAATGTTAGTTTTCAATTTGCAGCTTGAAAAGATTCCTCAAAAACTTTGTAATTTCAAACTTTCAGCGGCATTAGAGAACGCAAAAGTGTTTTTAAATGTCCCAAAAACTTGTTTTTCTGGTGTGGTTGACTTTCTAATTGATATTTTGACTTTTTCTAGTTCCTTAGTTTCATAGTTTTTTGTAAAATCTCAACCGTACAAAGTAAACCCTCAGATTTCTGATTTTGTATATGAAGCAAAAAATCTTGATTTATCTTTGTATGAATGCAATTTTCTCTGAAACTATGCTAGATACTGAAACGAAAATTTAACAGATTACTCTTGAAGGTACGGCGAGTTCAAATATGGTCAGCAATTGTCAACAAATTATCTGGTTCATGTTTTATTTACAATTGAAATGTTATTTTTCAATTTGCAGCTTGAAAAATTCCTCAAAAACTTTGTAATTTCAAACTTTCAGCGGCATTAGAGAACGCAAAAGTGTTTTTAAATGTCCCAAAAACTTGTTTTTCTGGTGTGGTTGACCTTCTAATTTATAATTTTGACTTTTTCCAGTTCCTTAGTGTAATAGATTACCGCAGGAGGCTGTAAGATAAAAACTCTCTTTATACTTTTAACTCAACTGCAACAGAACACATCAGCAACTAACTCATCATTCAATTCAATCCAAATTAAGTAAACGGTTACATGGGCGTATATGAGTACATTATTATAAGGGGCATAGTACAGTAAATAAGTACATTATAACATCACCTCCCCTTTTTTAAAAGAGTAAATATGTATGTAAACAAATTAGAACGTAAATGTCAATCAAGAAAATTGTTTGTTAATGTTCATTTTACCAGCTGTGAAGGAATTGGATAACCAAACCTTACTGGTGGACGTCGTTGTCTTCTTGGCCTTTCTTGTTGGGCTTCATTTTCCTGCACTTGCTCTTTCTCTTTGCCATCATTATTTCCTGTTCTTGATCTGTATTCTTCATCTTCTGAATCTGTACTTCTTTCATCTGCAAGATTAACTTTGTCTGCATTGAACTTCTTGAAATGTGACACGTTTCTGGTAATTCGATGTCCTTTACCATTTTCTGCAACTACACGAGTGCCTTTTCTGCTGATAACGGTATATGGAGTTTCATTAAACCGTGTAGACAGCTTGTTTCTTCGTTGTTGTTTGACAATTACTGTATCGCCAACTATAATCGTGCTTTTTGTAGCATTTCTTCTGTTGTCTGCATACTGTTTATGGTAATTTTGGCTCTTTTCTTCGTTTTCCCTGGCTTCTTTGTGTCTGTCTATCACCAATTTGTTGTCAATAATGGGAAGTTTTCCATGTACCTTCCGATTGAACAATAACTCGCATGGTGCAACCTTTGTGACAGTGTGTGGAGTGGTGCGATACTGCAGCAAGAATCGATTAAGCTCTTGCCTCCATATCCTCCCTTCCACAACTGCTGTTTGGAGTGTCTTACTCAAAGGCTGATTAAAGCGTTCAACAACACCGTTGGCCTGGGGCCAGCAGGGTGTAACAGGATTGTGTGTAATTCCTAATGCTTTCAGGTATCTGGCAAATTCATCACTGCTAAACAGTGGGCCATTGTCCGACTTTAATATTAGTGGAATACCGTGGGTAGCAAATATTTTGTCAAGTTTTGGAATCACAGCAGAGGCTTTCGTTGAACGAATAACCTCTACTTCAGGATAACGTGAGTAACGATCGATTACGACAAGTAGATAATCATTAGATGGCAGTGGTCCATAGAAATCAACATGTACTGTGTGCCATGGTTCTTCTGGCATAGCAGACGGTTGAATTGGTTCTGGTGGAGATGATCGACTCACAGTTTGGCATGCAAGACAGGAATCTATCGTTTTTTTAACAAGTTCCTCTATCCCGAAAAACCATACCTTTTCTCGTAGTAGCGCTTTGGTTCTTGATAAGCCTTGGTGTGTTTCGTGGGCAATGTCAATCGCTCGCTTCTGTAGACTTTCTGGAAGTATTATCCTTGATCCTCTCAATATAATGTTGTTTGTACTTATGACGAGTTCATCTTTAAATGGTCGATATTTTTCAACATTGTCAGTGTTCCAGCGATTGGAACGAATGGCTGCACGAAGTCCCTTTAGAACTCTGTCTTCATTAGTAGCATCGGATATCTCCTTAAGTGTCATCGCTTTTGGAACACTGTTGCTCACTATGAAGTTGATGTACTCTTCTGTGTCATGATGACAGTCAATAGCGACATGTGAAGGGTGTCTGGATAGAAAGTCTGCAGGATTGTCAGCTCCAGACTTGTAGATAACTTTAAATGAGTAAGACTGAAGTCGTAATACCCATCTCTCTATGCGTGCAGATGGTCGTGAGTTCTTGCGACCATAAATAATTTCTAAGGGCTTGTGATCAGTGATTAAGGTAAATTCTGCTCCATACAAAAACAGATGAAAATGTTCGATGGACCATACAATGGCCAATGCTTCTTTTTCGGTTTGTGAATAACGCTGCTCAACTGCAGTTAACGAGCGGCTTGCATATGCGACGACTTGTGGAGCTTGAGTGGAATTTCTTGGCTTCTGCGATAGGATTGCAGAAATTCCAACTGGGCTTGCATCGACAAGTAATGAAGTTTCTTTATCCTTGTCAAAGTAGGCCATACAGGGTGCTGACGTAAGTGCATCCTTAAGTTGAATAAAAGCTAATTGATGAGCATCAGTCCACTGAAATTGAGCATTCTTCTTTGTCAAGTCGCGTAGAGGTGCTGTAAGTGTAGCAAAATTTGCAATGTAGCGGCTGCTGTAATTTGCCATGCCTAGTAAGCTGCGTACTTCATGAACATTTTTTGGTACAGGGGCATCCACAACATCCTTTATGTGTTTTGGATCTGGACAAGTGCCATCCTTACTAAAAATTTGGCCAAAGAATTCAAGTGTGGTGCTCAAAAATTTACACTTTCCATAATTGAGTGTTAGTCCTCTGTTTTCAAGGCGTTGTAAACACTTTTCCAAATTTGCATCATGCTCAGCACGGGTTTTTCCATAAACTAGGATGTCGTCAGCGATGTTTTTTACGCCATTAAGTCCTTGTAACTGGGTTTGTAGAGCATACTGAAATATTTCTGCTGAAGCATTTATGCCATAGGCCAGTCGTTGATAACGGAAAAGGCCAACATGTGTGTTGAATGTGGTGATAGATCGACTGCTCTCATGAAGTGGCAATTGATGGTAAGCCTGCTGCAAATCCAGTTTTGTAAAAAACTTTGCTCCATTTAGCTCAAATCGAACATCATCGACTGTCGGTATAGGGTGTCTAACCCTCTCTATGGCTTCATTTGCAAGGCGCATGTCAACACATATCCGCACTTTTCCATCCTTTTTGGGGACGGCAACAATAGGGGATACCCAGGGAGTACCCTCATGTTCAGGAATTCGCTCTATTATGCCTTCCTCTTCCAAATCTTGTAGGGCAGCTTCTACTTTTTTCCTCATGTGGTACGGAATTCGACGGACTGGCTGTGCTTTAGGTTGGTGTTTGTCATTAATACTCAGTTTGACTGGTTCTCCATGCAAGCATCCTAGGCCATCAAAAACTTTGCTATGTTTGTTTAAAAGATTATTCAAATCAGTGTCGCTGATAGTAATTTTGTTCAGATGTAGGCTTACAAGGCCTAAATCTTGGGCAGTTTGCAATGAAATAAGGTTAGAGCTGCTGTTGTTGTTGCAATGTCTTGGTCGTACAACGTAAAACGTCGCAGTGGTCATGCGTCCTTTGGGGGTTTCCACAAGGGCGATGAACTTTCCGATGAATTTGACTGGATTTGTTGC